ATCCTTGTTCTCGGCCACACAAAGAACCATTTAATTGCTTCATGAGTGGAGCTCGTCAGCCACAAAGTTTCTTTACCTTCAGCTGCTCCTGATGGCACTTGCAATTTGTAGCCCGGAGCAAACTCAACGTGCAAAATTGCAGATACTGAGGTAATATAAAAGCTTTAAAATCATGAGATTTATGGAAAACATGGGGAAAAATGCATTTCCTTAGGCAGTAAGATCAAGGACTTTAAACAGGCTGCATCCATAAAATGTATACGAATCACACAAAGCCATGTTAAATAACTCGTTTCTATGCCTGATGATAGGTTTTTAAAGTTGGATTCTCAGCTAGACACATTTATAGGACAACAAAGCCATACTGTTAYACCCAGACTCCAGCCCTGCAAACCCACATTAAACCGACCAGCTCTAATTGCCCCCAAATCTACACAGCAAAAAATAAATAATAAATAAATCCTCTCATTCCTGCAGTTGATTCTTGGCTGTCATTAAACTCCACTCTCCCTGTCTTTGCAGGCTCTTAGCAAGGATGCGGTTTATTAAATGCTCAGGTTAACACTAGTGGCATTAGAGGATTCAGCCGGCAGAAAGCAGCAGGATCTCGGRATGTTTTACACATCAGGATTTCCTTTCAAGGGCTGCTCTGTTCCCTCACAACACCCCAGCAACCAAACCAGGCACCTATCCAGAACAGAGGAGCACAATCAGGTTTTCTGGAGGAAACTAAAGCTCCACAAACATGCAAAGCTTTGGTGAGAGAAGATGTCTCATCACAGGTTTGCACCCGGGCTGGAAGCAGTGTCAGCAGTGCTTGTCACTCAGTGTAGAAGCCAAAGTCCTTAGAAAAAAAGCTAGATCGCAAAAACAAAGAAACAAACAAAATACATATATATCAATGCAAAACTCCTGAGATTTTTCATTTGTTAATAACTGTGGAAAACAGACAGCTAATAAAAGCAGCTTCTTCTGGCTGTTAAATAGGAAGATATCATTGAAAA